CCCGCTCAAATGATATAGGCGTGATGGGCCCTGTCGAGATCTATCATTTGGCATCAAATCCGTCTGAATATCTCGTTTAAGAGACAACTTATCAGCCGACCTGCCACCTTCGTGGGCTTGCAACTATGATTTTCTATTCCTTCAAATTTCAAATTTTAATCTTAAAGTTCAAACTTTAAAAGTTAAAATTACATATTTTTTCTTTTAAAAACACTAAAGAAATTTCTAAAAAATCACTCTTTCGAAAAATTTTGTTTTGTGTTATTTAATTAATTAGCGTTATATTATCTTCCAGAATTTTCCCCAAAAAATCGCATCATTTTTCCATGAAATCCTTTCAAAATCTTCAGCTCATCCCGGTTTGTGATCTATCAAAATCCCCCCCCCCCCCCCAAAAAAAAATCTGAAAATCCATCAAAAAATGTTCCGGAATGTTCCACCTACTTTTTTTTCTTTCATTTTTTTAATAAATTTTTTGTTCTGTTTCAGTGATTCTTCGAGTTTTTTAGAGAAAATCAAACTTTAATAATATTATTGAATTGCTTTTTATCCTATAATTTCAAAATTTTAAAATAATCTTCAGAAAATCCAAAATTTCATCATAAAATTGTGATTTCTGACGATTTTTACAATTCTTGGCATTCAATTTTCCCAAAAAATCTTTTTTTCCTTTATGTTTTCTTATCTTTTTTCTTCAATTTCCCCACTTTTCCGATTCTTTCAAATTTTTTCTTACAGAATTCTCCTCAACTTGCACCCAGAATGCACTCAGATCATATTTTTTTCCAAACTTTATCCCCAATTTTTTTACTGTTTCAAAACTTTTTTTTCACTTTTTCTTTTTCCGGCTAAACGCTTTTGTTTGGTTTGACATTGATGGTAAAAAACCTTAAAATATGGAAAAAAACGCCAAGAAAATTGCTTCAATTTAGAAGTTGTTTTCCCTTATTTTTCTGCATTTTTCTTGCAAAAATTTGACATTTTCAGTCAATTTCAGCCAATTTTAAGAGTTCTATGATTGAAAAAAAAAACGGAACTTTGATTTTTCGGATTACGTCAGTTATTCGAATTTCCTGTTTTTCTCATAGTCAGATGGATTACATCTTATCGGAAATTCTGAAATATCAAAGATTTTAGTACAAACATGGATTTTATTTTAACATAAAAGTTCAGAATTTTTACTGTTTCTAATAAATCCGAAAATTGTGCTGGAAATTTTCTAATGTGTATGAAATTGTAGGATAAAGTTTTGAATTCTTAAAATGTTTCAATTTTTAAAAGTTTGGAAGAAAACTGATGGTACAGTAACCTGACAACTACAGTTATCTGAAACTACAATAACTACAGTGTCCTCTACCGTAATCCTTCCCCAAAAATGTCTTCAAACTGTTTTTTTAAATGTTTCACTGTTTCAATAATTTTCGCAATCATTGAACTTTTTTGTCGCATTGCTTCTTGGTGTAGACACAGCTCACAAAATTACAGTAACCCAAAATCACAGTAATCCGAAATTTATCATTTTTACCACAATAATCCCCAATCTACAGTAGTCTCTCCTTCATTGAAGTTTTTTTTCGAAAAGTTTCGAAAATCGGAACAGAAATTTTCACTGTTTCGAATTTTTATTTTCACATACCGCTTGTTTTTTTCCAAATGTTGTTTTCATTCATATTCAAATCACAATAATTTTGAGCTACAGTAACCCTGTAGCTCAGAATTGCCCAAAAATTTTCAAAATTTACCGTTTCAACATTTTTTCAAACTTTTTCCAACTGGAAATTGCATTACTTGGCTTTCCTTAAATACCAATTTCGTTTCCAAGTTTCAAATTTACTAATTCCGAAATTTTTTGTTTGTTGTTTTTCCTTCCAAACTACAGTAACCCAAGTGCTCAACAACTCTTCTATTCGGCTCAAAAAGTAGAATTTTGATGAAAACCACAGTAATCCCTGCGAAAAATTAATTTTTGCTGTTTCAAATTTTATTTTCCTTGTTTTGCTTCTTTCAAATTGTGTTAATTCCGATCCACAGTCTTCTCAATTACAGTAATCCCAGGCTACAGTATCACCAAATGCGATATTTTCAAAAATTACCGTTTCGATTTTTTTTTTGAGTTTTTCCATTATGGAAATTTCATTACCCTAGTTACGCATATATTATTACTTCAAAACCACATTTCGTTTTTCCAATCCTAAATTTACTAATTCAAAAATGTTTTCGATTTTTCTGATTTTTCTTGCAAACTCCAGTAATCAAAATACTCCGTAACTGTTCCAGTAGACTCCACCACAGCAATCCCTGGGCTACATATTCTTGAATGCTGTACTCTTTATATTGCAAACAGTAATCCTTTATATTGCAAACAGTAATAAATTTATATTGCAAACAGTAAATCCCCATATATGCTCACAGCTACAGTATTCCTAAGAACAGGAATTTAGAGCTACAGTACCACTAGTTACAGTAATCGCAAGCTACAGAGCCTCTGTAGCTCGGAATTGTCTGAAAATTTCAAAAATTACGGTTTCAACTTTCTTTTGAATTTTTTGAACTGGAAATTTCATTACTACCCCTATCTCCAAAAACAATGTTAATTGCATATTCCCTTCCAAACTACAGTAATCCCGATATTCCATAACCATTGAGTAGACTCATCCATAGTAATCTTTCCGCTACAGTACCCCCGAATCCAAAAACTGACTGTTGACTCAACCGCAGCAATCCCGGGATACAGTATCCCAAGTTTTTCGAAAAAATTACTGTTTCAAAATTTGAAGTTTCAATCTGATTGCAGTAAACCTAAATTTTCTAGAACCTTCCAGAAGATCAATATTTCTGATTATATTTACTCAGTTTTTTCTAACCTCATGACACCAGAGTTTCCTTATCAATAATCAGTCATCTGACTCTTCAATTTTTTACAATGGCAATCAAAAAGAAACAGAAAAAACTGAATCAAAAATTCTGATTCTAAAATCAACAATAAAAGAATTGGTCTGTGTTTTGTAGCGGGGCAAAAAAGCATGCGAAAAGAAGCTTTAAAAATTGGAAAATGCTCTCTGCGTCTCTCATATTCCCATAGTCTCCCGCTGATAAGAAAAATTCAAAAGAAAAATGTTTTTGGGTTAATGACGACGTTTTTTGGAGACGGAGTCAAACAATTGATAAGAATATAATGGCTTGGAATTTTCGATTTTTTATGATTAAAAAAATCAGAGCACACAATTAATAGGGGCACAAACAATTATATACATATTTGAGTCTAGAGGTGACTGACTTTTTTTTTATTTTTGGCTGGCTGAAAGAATATTCTAGAATATTCCAGAGAAAATTTTTCCAAGGTGAGAAATAAAATTACTGTTTCAGTTGAATCTCTAATTTTTCTTTGAGCTCTAAAAATTTAATGGGCATGAAATTAAAAGGAAACATTCAAATATTGAGAGAAAATTTTAAATTTGAAACTCGCGAATTTCAATTTTTACTGTTTCAATTTTTATTGAATTTTTGAGTTTTTTGAATTTCATCATTAAACTTTGTTTACATTCTCAAAAATTCAAAAATTCAGAAATTCAGAAATTCAGAAATTCAGAAATTCAGAAATTCAGAAATTCAGAAATTCAGAAATTCAGAAATTCAGAAATTCAGAAATTCAGAAATTCAGAAATTCAGAAATTCAGAAATTCAGAAATTTAGAAATTCAGAAATTCAGAAATTCAAAAATTCAGAAATTCAGAAATTCTGATATTCTGATATTCTGATATTCAGAAATTCAGAAATTCAGAAATTCAGAAATTCAGAAATTCAGAAATTCAGAAATTTAGAAATTCAGAAATTCAGAAATTCAAAAATTCAGAAATTCAGAAATTCTGATATTCTGATATTCTGATATTCAGAAATTCAGAAATTCAGAAATTCAGA